TTCAGGGTAACATAGTTTTTAAATATTTGAATACATTCAAGAATTTCAGTGGTGAAGCTTACAAATAAGAAATTTTTCTCTTTGTTTCTGTGAAGAGCATTTTTTAAAGTGACTACACGACTGACTTGCAGATCAAAACTTTTTATGACTTACTTGTATGATGGCAGGTTTTTCTTATTAATTTACTTTGTGAGATTTAAAATACTTAAAGAATGTGCATCATCCTAAGTGGTTCACCTATGAATAATGTTAAATTTTTTTAAAAAGTAAAACTGGCAGACATATATTTCAGGAATTTGACCTTGTTATTAAATCACAAACTTTGTTTACATGCTGTATGGAAAAGGTTTTACATCCCATTTGTTCAAAGTCATTCTTTAAAGAAGAAATTAGTCATTAAGTCATAAGAAAACTAACAGCAGGAAAAGTTGAACTGATTGATTGTAATCTTGTGGTAATGTGATTTCAGCAGTTTAGCTACTGATATATTTTAAGATATTTTTCTGCTCTGTGTTAATTTTTCTAAAGTTGTCTTTTGTGAGAAGTTATGTGTACAGTTCAGTTTTCTATACTTAGAATGTTTGCATAATTAGAAATGCAACTATAATTATTAATAATAACCTTTCTGTTTTTACTTTGAGATATTTTAACAAATAATTTTAGTCAAATCTTGATATTTTCAGTCATTTCTTACCCTTTTTTCAGAAAGTATCAGAGGCATTTAAAAATTATGTCCAGTTGAAAACCCTTTTCTCCTTCACATAGAAAATTTCATGTATATATATATATATATATATATATATACTAATTTTTTTAAGTATAGGGCTAGAACACTAGTACAGCAGGTAGGGCACTTGTCTTGGCCTGTTTCTGACCCAGGTTCAGTACCCAGCACCCCATATGGTTTCCTGAGACCCGCCATGAGTGATGCCTGAGTGCAGAGCTAGGAGTAAGCCCTGAGCAATGCCTCCTGTGATTTCAAGCCCCCACCGATGTATTAAAAGGTGTGGACAGAGAGATATTACAGTAGATAGAACCCTTGCCTTGCATATGGTGAACCTGGGCGAGATCCCTGACACTCCATGTGTGGACCATGAATACTGCGAACTTGATCCCTAAACACAGGGCCAGGAGAAAGCCCTGAGCACCACTTTGTTTGGCCCCAAACAAACAAAAGATATGTATAATAATGACATTGAAGTGACTTTTTCACATCTAATACTTGTAAATGTTCCAAAATATGGAAATTTTAAAATATTTGCAATACGAAGAATGATTGATTAATGCATCGATATGATGATTCTGTGATTAAAATTATTTTGAAGGGACTGGAGAGGTAGTTCAGTGTTGAGTGCATGCTTTGTATGTAAGAGCCACAGGTTTGTTCCCCAGCTGCGCAGTAACTTAAGCATAGAGCTTGGTAGTCACCTCGCAGTCCTGGATATGATCTAAAAACAACAACAAAAGATACTTTTACTATAATGAATTATATTTATAATAAGTGCATTCATAAATAGGCATAATATAATATTGAGTGTGAGGTATAATAGCTGTATATATGTATATGGAAAATACTGGAAGAAATGTATGCTATAATCTGTTATGGAAAAAAGTATGACTAATAAGAGCATTGGTAATTTTATTTTCTCAAATCTTCTACAGTGAACACATAGTACTTTTATTTATAAGAGTACCTGTGTTTAAAATAAAGGTTTTGGACTGTGTATTTTTAAATGGCTTGTTACTGAGTAACAAGTCATTTCTAATTCTAAATGATTAGGTATGCTAAACACTTTATGTCTGGATCACCAATGTCATGGGTCAGCTACAGCAACTCTCTGAATAAGACTCATCACTCCATGACCAAGGGAGAAGAGAAATGGCAGAACCATTCAGTGGCTCGTAAAGCTTCTGTTGAAAAGTTCCACTGTCACTTTCTTTTGTTTTCTGTTTGCTAAAACAGTTTGCATGGCCAGGTCTCATGCCATATATCATAAAATACACTATGGCAAAGAGAGGACTGACTCATTAGAAAAGACATCAAATCTGATCACATAGTTCAATCTGTCCTATGTATGTCATATCTTTGAAGTGCAAAATTAGCATGTAACATGAAGGTTATATATTAAGTCACGTAAGTTATATATTGTATAGCTCTAGAGTTGAGCTATACAATATATAATGTACACTGTTTATGTGGAGTAGAACATTGTAGTTAATGTCTTTTTATAACTTGTCTGTTCATATACCAATAATTAAAATATATATTTTTTCCATTTATTAAACTAATTTAGGGACTGGATGCATGGTGGGTAGGGCATTTGCCTTGCCAACCTGGGTTCGATTCCCACCATCCCATATGATCCCCCAAGCACTGCCAGGAGTGATTTCTGTGTGCAGAGCCAGGAGTAACCCCTGTGCGTCACTGGGTGTGACCCAAAAAGCAAAAAAAAAAAAAAGAGAATTAAACTGTAATTTAATTTTATTTGCTTATTTGAACTGAGTTGTTAATTAAGTCATACTATCTTTAGAATAAGAACTAATAAGCTTATATTGTATATATGTGTGTACATGTATTAACTAATTTATCAAATTCTGAATGACAGTGGCTCTTAATTTTATTGAACTTAGTAAATAAAAAACAGAGCATCAATGAGTTATTGAATAATTTATTGATATGAAATCACTGTCACTGTCCTCCCGTCGTTCATCGATTTGCTCGAGCGGGCCCAGTAACATTGTAAGCCCTGTTACTGTGTTTGGCATATTGAATACATCACAGGTAGCTTGCCAGGCTTTGCCATTTGGGCAAGATACTCTCAGTAGCTTGCTGGGCTCTCCAAGAGGGGGCGGAGGAATCAAACTCGGGTCGGCCATGTTGGCTGCATGCAAGGCAAACACCCTACCCGCTGTGCTATCGCTCCAGCCCATATTAAATCAAGTATTTAAAAATAAAATCTTTAAATTATAAAGGGGTCTTGTATATAAGTTACAGAAAATTCATATTTGTAATGACTATTCCTTAGAAATATGTTAACATTCTCTAAGATCAGAAAGAAAACTGGAATAATTATTTAAAAAATTCTTTTATGTATGTCATTTTTTAAATAGAACAAGGAGTTAGCTAGTTTTTAAACTTTTGTTTGCTTTAATAAAATAACAGTGAGCTACTTTTTTGTGTACAGCGTGTGTCGGGGGGAGGTAGGTAGTAAGGGGAAACTTACCATGCAGTGCTCAGGGACTCCTGGGCTATTCTGACCACTATCTGTCTGATGGGTTGGGAAAGTGCGTGGGCCTGCTGAACTACAGAGCCATCCCAGCACGACTCAGTGACCTCCACTGCTAGCTCCAATGGTCAGAGCATGTGGTGCCGAGCTCAACCTCTAGTTCTAGCATCTTTGACTACTAAACTTTTTCTCTCAGGGCCCCCAGATACCTTTTGTTCTTTGCAACTTGATTACACACATTAGTCATATAAAGTTTAGAAGTCTGTTTAACATAGACAGCTTTTTAAAACACATAATTGCTAAGAAGAAAGACTTGTTTTATGTTTTGTTTTGTTATTTTGAAAAAGAACTATTTGAAGTCTTAGCAATGTGCCTTAAAGCCATGCTTAAACTTTTTTCTACTGAAAAAAGTTTGGCACAGGTGAACTTTGCCAAAAACATCTTAGATTCATTACACAATTGTTTGTGAATTAATTTTTGGTCTTTGTGCATTCTGAAACATTCTGCTGTTGCCAAATATTTTGCCTCCCCACATTTAGTTACATGACCCTATAAGCGGTCATGACCCAAGAAAACCTTGTCTCTGAGAAAAGTTTAGTATTACTTTCATTGTGGGCTGACTTACTTGCTGTTTATAATCATTTCTCCTACCAACTGCAAAGAAGAAACTACAATGAACAGTTAAACATTCTATCAGTAAAAATTTTATTCATTTTCAATATGAAGCCCATAATCTTACATTTTTTGGGGGGGTGAGGGCATCCCATGGGTTAGTACTTTTTGGGTTAGTACTTCACATTCACAATTGAAGGGGCCACTCCCAGCAATATTTGGCCACATAATTTTAATGTGAATTTTTATTTTAATTGATGTTGCTGAATGACACTAGAACAGTTATCTGACACACTTAGGAACTTAAAATATTCATGATCTATTTTTGTCATTCCACTGAAAGATGAAAACATCTTTTTCTATAATCCAGTATTATCCATTTACATTCCATATTCTCTTTCTCTGAATCATCTTCATATCAGTGCTCCTCTTTTATGTTTCTTTGAAACTCTAACTATAAATTATCAGTGAAACTGGTCTGTTCACCAGTGTATCCATATTACCAGAATTAGTGAACTTACAGTTGTGTGACAAAACTGACCTTTTCCTCCTTTATGAGTCCATCCCCTTCATTGCTTTCCTTCATTAGCATATACATGATATCCCCCACACCTTGCACATGGTGACCCAAATTCAGTCCCCAGATCTCGTGTGGCCACCCTGAGCACCTCCAGAAGTGATCCCTGAGTGCAGAGTCAGGAGTAACCCCTGAGCATTTGTCATTCCACTTGGAAGATTAAACCATCTTTTGGTTTGGTTGGCGCCAAAACAAACAGCAACAAAAATATACATATATATGTATATATGAGTGTATGTATGTATATCACTGTCTCTCACTGTCCTCCCGTTGTTCATCAATTTGCTCCAGCAGGCCCAGTAACGTCTCCATTAGGAGACTTCTTGTTACTGTGTTTGGCATATTGAATACTCTCGGTAGCTTGCCAGGCTGTCCGAGAGGGGCGGAGGAATCGAACCTGGCTCGGCCAGGCTGGCTGCGTGCAAGGTAAACGCCCTATCGCTGTGCTAGTATATGTATATACATATATAATTTAAAGATTGTAATAAATGTTGTGATCTGACATTGAGCAATTATTCTAGTAGATAATTCTAGTAAATAATTTATCATATTAGTGACTCCTCCCATTTGTTTCCTCTTTTTAGTGGTGATGAATTCCTCAACTTTCTTCTGAAATTAAACAAACAATGTGGCCATTTGATAACAGCTGTACAGAATATCATTACTGAGTTGCCTGTAAATTCTCACAAGGTATTCTATAAGTGTTATGAAGTGAATAAAAGTATGAATCCTGAGAAAATCCCAGATAAGTTTATAATTGAGTAAGCAAGTTTCTGATAAGATAATGTCCTTTACAAAAATCACATAAAATCTAAATTTGTTTAATACTATTTATTTACATATGAATTGAAAAAGTTAATGTTCTAGCACTCAAAAAATCAAAGCAAAAATTAAACTGATCTGTGTATTGAACTTAACCATTTTTTTCTTGAAGGGAACCTAACTGTTTAAAATATAAAGTGACAGGAGACCTAAGCGCAAGTTGAAATGAACCAGTTTGTTGGGTGTTATTAAAACCGTATCAATATTTTTCTTAAATGACAGAGTTTTAAACAGAAACTATAATATGTAAAAAAAAACAAAATTATTTTTGAAGTTTTATGTATTTTTAGTTCATCTGTAGTAAAAAATATTTTAATGCACTTACTAATAAGAATTATTTTGTTCTTAAAATCTATGTAAGTTTATTTTTCATCACAAATATTATTAATCATAGTAGTCTTAAAGCTGTGTATAAAATTTTACATATATATTTAATAAGTGCACTCAGGAAAGCCAATTTGACTTTATATCAAGTTACTGACATTTTGAAGTCAGAATATCCTTGACAAAAGAATGCTTTTTGATGATATAATTTAATGTTTGAAAGTATAAATTTTACATTTTGATAATGTATAATGTATAGTTTTAATTTTTGTGGACATAAAGTTTTGAAAAGTTGTTTTCTTCTTTAAAGTTTTAACTTTTGAAAATATTGACAGATAGTGCTAGAATGGGCTTCTCCTCGGAATTTTACTTCAGTTTGTGAAGAACTGGTTAGTAATGTTGAAGATTTGAGTGAAGAGGTCTGCAAACTAAAAGACTTAATTCAGAAGGTACATACTTACCCTGAAAGTGGGGGTGAGGGCTAAGGGGGATTATAGCCCAGTGTTAGAGTGAAGCAAAGTAGCTCTCACAAGGGAAACTGAAGCTATCACCTAACAAGTGGAAAAGGATGGGCTCCAAGAAAGGGTATGTGTGTGTGTGTGTGTGTGTGTGTGTGTGTGTGTGTATCTATCTGTGTGTGTTTATTTATATGACAAACCTAGTTGTACATTAAAGAAATGCATACTGAAAAGACAGTGCTATTACTAATTTTATCTTTTAAATGGCCAGAATTTGCTATTTCTGTTTGGAGTTCATTAAATGGATATTCTTTTTAAAAAATGCTCATTGTTGTTAGAGTTTGAAGTACCATGTTTAGAAACATGTTCATGCTTATGGTCTTGATACTCAGTTACTGCACCTCACTACCACCAGTGTGCCAGTACTCTCTACCAATATCCTTAAGTTATTTCTAGTTCATCTCTTCATATCTCTCTACCTCCTTCCCTGCTGCTTGGTAATCTCAGTTCAAATGAATATTCGAGTGTGTATGTGTGTGTGTGTGTGTGTGTGTATTTTGGGGGGCCACACCCAGCAGTGCTCAGGGTCTACTCCGGGCTCTGCATTCAGGAATTATTTCTGACGGTGCTTGGGATGCTGGGGATTGAACCCATATGCAAGGCAAGAGCCCTAACCACTGTAATATTTCTCCAGTTCCTTACATATGTATTCTTACAGGGGACTGGCCATAGCCCCTTTGAAAAACATTTTGGCAAGATGAGCCAAGGTATCTTTAAAAAAAATACTTGTACTTTTCAGAAATAATTTAATGATTTTAATATGTATGCACTTTTAAGTGCCATATACAAAGTGATTGATTTAGAAATTTTGATGCACACATTGTTCTAACTGTATGCAGCTAGTTTAAAAAATTATGTATCAGCTTTTTAAAGATAGAGTTATACTTGTTTTACTTACATATAAATATACAGATGAAAATTTCCAAAATAAAATTTGTTGTTAGCTCTGGGAATGAGATTGGATCACGGGTGAAAAAAATTCTTCATCTTCTAAACTTTTTAAACTAGAATTTTTTTAAAAATTTTTATTAGTGAAACACCATGAGGTACAGTTGTAGACTTACAAATTTTTGTGCTTGGGTTTCAATTATACAATGATCAAATACCCATCCCTTCACCAGTGCCCATTTTCCACCACCACAGGTCCCAGTATCCCTCCCACCCACCCCCCACTTGTTTGTTTATTGCAGCACTCTTTACAATAGCCAGAATCTGGAAAGAACCTGAGTGCCGGAGAACAGATGACTGGTTAAAGAAACTTTGGTACATTTACACAATGGAGTACTATGTAGCTGTTAGAAAAGATGCAGTCATGAAATTTACATACAAGTGGTACTACATGGAAAGTTTCATGTTAAGTGAAATGAGTCAGAAAGAGCAGGATAGACACAGAAAGATTGCATTCATCTGGGGAACATAGAGTAACAAAATAGGAGACTAACACCCAAGAGTGGCAGAGATTAGTACTAGGAGGTTTGCTTCATGGCTTGGAGGCCAGCCACACATGCTAGGGGAAAAGGGAGCTGAGATAGAGAAGGGAGCACTAAACTAGAATTTTTCAGATGAAATTGAGGGTGTTTTGGCTATTGATTTTATACTGAACTTAAAGATTAGTGATTTTTCCCATTAATATAATTTGTAGTCCAAAATAGAAGATGTTAAAATAAAAATCTGTTTTCTAATTAACAAATAATGTTGATATGGTTTCTATAAGATACATAATTTTTATAGCTTTAATCAAGATCATTTAAATTTTTACTGATACTTTTATCAAAAAATTAATTTTTCTCAATAATTTTGTGTATAATAGAGGTGATTTATTATTCTAAATATTAATACTATTTAATAAAAATGAGTCTTCCCAAAAGATAAGCAGAAAATTATAAAGAAAATTCCACAAAATTTGGGTGTGCAAAATATTTTAAATAAGCAGTGTGCTTCTAAATTCTTATGAACAATAACTTTTTTCCCCAAGAGGTTGTATTATCTTATAAGTTGTATTATCTCCAACTTTTATTGAATCAGCACACTTATTATCAGTTTTAACTACTGTTGTCATAGATTACATGGAGCCTGAATTTGCTGAAAGCATGAAAATGATAGCATACATCTTCACTGTTCCATCACAGTCAGAGGAATTGAAAGAAATGGTACTGATTTTACTCAGCGTGATGACTTTCTATTTTATTTAAAATTCCGGGCCATACCTAGAGGTGGTCTGCAACTGCTACTGGCTAGGTGCTCAGGGGTGACTTCTGATGTTGTTTAGGAGACTATGTAGTACCAGTGTATGAAACAAGATTCCAGCATGTAAATCAGTTACTCTTCTCCTTCAGCTATCTCTTCAACCCATTCATGAGAATTCAAGGAAAATTGGAAAGATTGATGTAAAGATACTTCCTGCAATGCATTAACCTTTAATGGTTAATGTAGGAAATTATCTGACATCTTTGCCTCAGGATTGGTAATACTTGACTTTCTCCAAGATGAGCTAAAAATATTTGGGAGGAAAGTACGGAAGGCAAGATGAAATTAAAGAAAAAACAGATTTTTTTATAAGGAAAGAATAAAAGACTGCTTTGGGGTTTTGGGGTGACTTTGATTCTAGAGTAATTTCAGTCAGATGCCATGATATTTATTTTGACAATGTGTATCTGTAAAGAGATTTCATTCTTTAGGTGAGTGGAAGATTTTTTTTCTATCCTCTCTTAACTAGAATGTTTACATATCTATAAAGGCTGTCCTTGAAAAAGCATTAATTGGTTTATAGTAATGATAGATACAGTTCTTTAGGAAAGGCTTCAATTTGGAGCAAACTCTGAGTTCATTTTTCTGGATCAGTCTTTTAAATAGTAATCACTGTCATGGAGTTTGATTTAGAGATCTGTGAGAACTTCAAGATTTGGGAGTATGCTACCATGCCTGTTAAATTTTTTCAAAGCTTACCAATAATAACTAAAGGGAATTTTGAAAAGAAACATGAGTTATCACAGATAAGTGTACAGAGGTAACAAAGAGAGAGGGTGGGAGAGGTCAAGGCTAGACTTTAGCACCACATCACTCTCTTTCAAACCAACACACTGACAAGCTCCTGTCAGAGGGGGTCATTTTAAGTAATTGGTTAAGAAAAGGAATGACTGTCTCAGGACTCAGTAAATGGAGCATCAGTGTCAGAAAGGAATCTGTTGCTGAATGAAGCCATTTGGAAGTTAGACCATAGAAACAGTAATGAGATTGGCATTGAAGTCCATTTTCTGCCATAAATTTAAAATTAATTTTGCAGTCTTTTTTAATTAAATATTTACACTGTAAATTTTAGTCATTAACTTCTGCTAGTGCTGAAAGTATTTATGTTACCCATCTAGCACAGGATGTTTCTAGTAAATATCACTTTATAAATGCGCCTGAATCTTTTATCTTTCCAGGATTTTTTTAATTTCTGTTCATACTCCTTTTCTCTCCCTCCCTCAGTCTCTGTCTCTGTCTGTCTGTCTCTCTCTGTCTCTCTCTCTCTGTCTCTCTCTCTCTCTCCCCCCCCCCACCCCATGTGCCAGCCCACACACATACGTGTATGTTTGTGTGAAAGAGTGTGTCTATGTGTTTTCAAGAAAGCTCTTGAAAACTTTTATGTATGGGAATTTAGAAACTTGCTAGATCACCTGGATCATATACTTTCACTGCTCAGAACTACTAAAAGAACCACTGAAATTTTTGTTGACATTTGTTTCTGTAATTATATTTACTTAAAAAATTTTTTATTGGTTTCTGAGCCACACCTGGAAGTACTCATGGCTTACTCGTGGCTCTGTGCAGGGATCATTCCTAGTGATTTGGGGGCCATATGGGGCACCAGGAATTTAAACTGGGTTAGCTGTGTGCAAGGCAAGCACACTCCCTGCTGTACTAGCTTTTGGCCTCTTTTGTAATCATATTTAAATAAAGGATTACGCTTCTAGCATTACCAGTCTTCTGTTTTGTTAAATATTGTATATTGCAGATATGTCTTAAGAATGATTCACTTTCAGGTAAGAAATCCATTGATGTTTAATAGTAAAGGAAAAAATTTAACAATTGCCAGTCCATATATATGTATATATATGCACACACACATATGTGCCTTAATATAAAACTTTACTCCATGACATAAAAACAGTATTATTCTAAGACATAATCTATGAGCACATTTTTAATGTAAAACTTCTATTTTATTAGTATCTCAATGAAACAAAGATTGTCTTTCAAAACATATGTGTTCAATTAAAAGTCTTCTATGGAAGGACAAGGATATAGCTTAAAAAACTGAGCATGTGTTTTGATTTTGGGAGCATTCAGTTTTAGTCCACAATACTGCATGGTCCCCCAAGCACTGAGCCAGGGAAGAGCCCCTGAGTACCAGCAAGTGTGACCCAAAAATAAAGAAGACTACTCTTTAATTAGAAAGGCTACACCTAAATTAACATAGAAATTTTGACATGTTTCAAATTAACTCCTTTTTCTTTCCCATACAAATATTAGTTACAAAGCGAACGAGAAAATGATCCAACGCACATACCATTAATGGAAGAAGTGTCTACGTGGAATAGTAAAATTTTGAAGAGGACAGCTATTACAGTATGCGGATTTGGATTTCTTCTTTTCCTTTGCAAGCTAACCTTGCAGCGAAAATAATCCTAGTACTTTTCTTTGAGTGATGTGTGTATGGCTTATTCAAATTTAAAATGTTGCTTTCAACCACTTATGGAAAATAAAGCTACATTCTTTTCCAATACTACATAGGGAAAATTATGATAGCATAGAGCAAAAAGTTTTTCTTTAGAAAGTGATTTGTCAGTTTTGAGTTAGATATATTATTTGTTATATTTTTGTTAATTTTGATCAAGCAGTAAATTATAAATGATTCTTGCATTTGTCCTATAACTCCAAATCACATTAAAAATAAAAGTTTTATTTACTATTTTTGATGTTCAATAAGTGTGCTTATTTGTCACGATATAGTATACTAGTTTGGGGTTAATATATAGCACTTTCAGTCCTAATTTTCCCTACGATAATTATTTAATTAGCACTTTAGTATTTAATCTTTAGTTAGAAAACATAATTAGGAAATTATTGATTTTGAAATTCTGGAGAATGAAAGGGGTAGAGTAAAATGTAAAATTTTTAAATTATGGATCAAAAACCTAGAAAAAATATTTTAAGTATGAAGTTTCTGCTTTGGAGTCTGAAATTGCTCTCAGGGAGGGCAGGGCAAGCAGCAGACCTGCTCTCCTAACTCACAGGTCGTAGATCCACTTGAACTGAAAATGATATATCTAAACAGAAATAAAGTGGAACAGAGAAGAATTAGGCCCCGGGCCAGAGCAACAGCATGTTGGGGAGGTCACTTGCCTTGAACGCAGCTGACTCTGGTTTAATCCCCCACATCCCATAGAATCCCCTGGAGTGACTCCTGAGTGCAGTCAGGCTACTCCAGTACCCAGAGTACTGCTGGCTGTGGCCCCAAAACAAGTAAAAAGTGAATTGTGTAGTTAATCGGAAAAAAGAACACAACTTTCTGGACTTTTCCCAGCATAAAGCATTTTTATGATGGCTACAGAGATAGCACAGATCACAAGGGGCTTGTCTGGCACACAGCTGACGAGGGTTCAACACCCATCACCCCACAGGATCCCCAAACCTAGAGTGATCGATGACAACAGAGCCAGGGGTAAAGTCCGCAGGGTGTGGCCAACCAAAAATAAATTTAGGTGCCAGAACTACAGTTTGGTAGGGTATGGGCCTTGTACACAGCTGACCTGGGTTCAGTCCCTGGCACCACACTTGGTACCAAAAGCAGCAACTACAGGGTATGACTAGAAAAAAGTTTTTGCTCATGACTCAACCTCCACCAGCCAGTTTTGGAGAATGCAGGTCAGACTTGGGTTTTGGAGCCACAGGTGGCAGATCTTTGGGCTCACCCAGGTGGTGCTTTATGAATCCTGCGTTGTGCAGGAGATTGTACCGTGGCAAGCTGCTTGCAAGGCCAGGGCCTGCACTCCTGGCCTATCACTGACCTCAGGAAATCAAAGTCTCTATAAGTACTGTGAACCTTATGAGAAGGATACAGACAGGAAACAGGGATGAAACAGGCTGGAGCGATAGCACAGCGGGTAGGGCGTTCGCCTTACAAGTGGCCAACATGGCCGACCCGAGTTCGATTCCTCCGCCCCTCTCGGAGAGCCCGGCAAGCTACCGAGAGTATTCGATATGCCAGACACAGTAACAACAAAGTCTCCAATGGAGACGTTACTGGGCCCGCTCGAGCAAATCGATGATCAACGGGAGGGCCTTTACTTTACTTTAAGTATGAAGTTTAAAAAGAGAGAAAAACATGGAAAACCCAAAATGCTTAAAAAGTTTCAAAGGCTAACATAACATACCTATTGTAATATATGACATACACTGTGACAATTGTGTCCATGGGATAGAGGAGTGCTGAGGTTTGATCCCAGGGCCTCACACAAGTAAGACAACATTTGCTTGTTGCATCTGCCACTCACTACATTCCCCAGCTCTAGGTAACATTCTTGAGGGTTGAGGGTGTTCTGACAGCTGATGGCATGTCCTTTCTCAATCTAAAGATGTACTTCTTTATGGGATTTATTTTTATTTTTTGAAATAAAAATCATGATACCTCGATTTTTAAAGTGAAGTTAGCAAACATTACGCCTTATTTAGTGAGAATTTAGTAGTTAACTGTATCTTGAGGATAAAGTGGCTCAATGGGCTGAGTTTAAACTTTGTATGCAAAAGACTTCAGTTCAAGCACCACGTGGTCCCAAGCACCACTGGGAGCAGCTCCAGAGCAGAACCTGAAATAGTCCCCAAGTACTGCTGAATGTAACCTCCATCCCCCAAGAAACGTGAATAAATCTTGCTTGTTTTAGAAATGTTAGTTGATTTACAAGGTGAACATGAAGCAAAGGGGGAAGTCATATATAAGAAAAGTCAGCTTTCTCTTAAAGCCCATGTTCTTCCTTGAACACATATATTGCTTACTTGTTTCTATTTCTTTGAGTGCCTATTTCACACCCTGAAGAAATCCATGTTCTCTCTTGAACACACACTTTTTCCTTTATTTACCCTCATATCTTTTCAAAAGTTTCAATAAAACCGATCTTGCTTCACACACACACAAACACACAAACAAAAAACCCAAAAACCAAGAGCCTAACGAACTATGAGTAGGAATTTATGCTTTTGGTTATGCCAAAGCAGCAGCACTCAATCATTCTTTTGGAGAAAATTCATATCTGTATCACTTGAAAGAATTAATGTCTGCCATTTTAACCATAGCAAAACATTTTTTCTTGAAAGCCATCTTTTAAATAATTTTAATGCTAAGGGCTGAACTAGAATATGGATAGGAGAATACGTATTTCTTTTAATGCTGATCCTCAGTTTTTAGTCAACGGAGTTATGTAGTGTTAGCTTTAGGTCTGTTAAAGAGAGAAAAGTAATCAAGTTTATATTTATAAAATGTGTTAGGTTTGTATTTGTATTTACTATTTCTGGTTCTCTTTACTTGATCCTGTGGATTTAAGCTACCAGGTAGTAGTATTTTCTGATTCTAGTATAACTCTTTTCCCAGTACTTCCATTATACTGCTTTTTACAAATATATAATATATAATGACTCCGTGCCAGACTGTGGGGCAGGTGAGAGCCCTCCCCTTACCAAAGGACCCAGCCCTGGCAGCCAACCTCCACTGCCCAACCACTGCCACGCTCTAAGCCACTTTTCTGACCACGTGGCCACTTTGTGCGACACATTATAAGACGTTTCCTACCCACTTATGTCTCTTGGAGAGTCCAACAAGGTACTGAGAGTATCCCACCCACACGGGCAGAGCCTGGCAAGTTTCCCGTGGCATATTCGTTATGCCAAATACAGTAACGACAATAGGTCTCATTCCCCTGACCCTCAAAGAGACTCCAATCGGAAAAAGTGATTAAGTAGAGGCTGCTAAAATCTCAGGGCTGGGAGGAATGAAGACATTACTGGCACCTTCTCAAGTAATTCGACAACCAATGGGATGATAGTGAAAATATATATATGTTATCTTATTAAATACATGCATTTTGTAATTGTTTCATTAATCATTGAGAAATAAAAATATACATACTCATGTCATCTTTCTAAATTACTTTTGACTTTTTCCCCTCTGAGAATCCCTAGTTCTCTTTTGAACACAACTGTCTCCTGTCATATTTTTAAATTTTCTCTAAATAAACTTATTTATGACTTTAAAGGTAAAGGCCCTCCCGTTGTTCATCAATTTGCTCGAGCGGGCCCAGTAACGTCTCCATTGGAGACTTTGTTGTTACTGTGTTTGGCATATCGAACACGTCATGGGGAGCTTGCCAGGCTCTGCCGTGCGGGCGAGATACTCTCGGTAGCTTGCCGGGCTCTCCGAGAGGCGCGGAGGAATCGAACTCGGGTCGGTCATGTTGGCTGCATGCAAGGCAAATGCCCTACCGCTGTGCTATCACTCCAGCCCATTTATGACTTAAATTTTTTTTTTAAAAATTGAGTCAAACCAGTGAGTGCTCGGCTCTGTATGGGATACTGAGGATTAAACCTGACTCAGCCACATGCAAGGCAAATGCCTTACCCACTGCACTATCTCTCTAGCCTCCTATATATGGCTTTTTTGTTTTATGTGTGTGGATTTAGATTTCCCCTTGATTTTTCCTGCTTTCAGCCTTAAGAACTTTAGTATTTCTTACAAGGTGAATCTACTAGCAATTCTAAGTTTTTATTTACCCGAGAATATCTTTGTTTTTTCTTTATTTTTAAAGAAAGTTTTTTTCTGATTGATAAAAGGTTCTAATTGACAGGTATTTTTTCTCTCAGCATTTTGAATATGTCCCCCCACAACTCACTGGTCTCTAAGAGACTAGTCTCTGAGAGTTCAACCTTTATTGGGGTTTCTTGTGTCTGAGAATCCTTTTGTTGCTGTCACCATTTCCTCTTTGGTTTTCCATTTTGACATTATTACTCTGATGTGTCTGGGTGTGGCTCTGTATTTAACCACTTAAAGTTCATTGACCTCTTTGCATGTGTAGATGATTGTTTTCATCAAATATGGAAAGTTTTCAGTCATTATATTCAGGAATATTTTTTTTCTAACTTCTTGGTATTTCTGTTACATATATATTGATGAACCCAAATGTATTTTACAATTTTCTGCCCATGTTTCTTTATTCTGTTATCTCTCTCTCTTTAAATTACCTCAGTTCAGCATCTTTAGGTATACTTATAGTTTCTTATGTAAGTTCAAATCAATTATTGAAGCATTGTAGCATTGTCCTCCCGTTCATCGGTTTGCTGGAGCAGGCCCAGTAACGTCTCCATTGTGGGACTTGTTACTATGTTTGGCATATGAATATGTCACAGGTAGCTTGCCAGGCTTTGCCATGTGGGCGGGATACTCTCAGTAGCTTGCTGGGCTCTCCAGGAGGGGTGGAAGAATCAAACCCGGGTCAGCCAGGTCAGCTGCATGCAAGGCAAATGCCCTACCCCCTGTGCTATTGCTCCAGCACATTGAAGCACTATACATATATATATATATAGACACTTATATATGTGTATATATATTGGAGTATTGCTATTCATCCATTGATTGAGCCGATTGAATTGGGCATGAACTACACCTTTTTTTTGTGTGTGTTTATTTCTATTTTTCCCTCAAAATTTTATTTTATCAAAGCTCCATACATTACAAAGTTACTCATAGTTGGGTTTTTGACATACAAGGAGGGAAATTGACACTGGTGGTAGGATTGTTGATACATCTGTATTTTTTAAATTTTTAATCAAAAAATTTTTTAAAG